ATAGACAGTCTCCCTGATCATGTTCGAGACTTAGGTATCAATTGGACTACTATACCTGCAAGGGCTCCAAGCTTCAGAGGGCTATGGAAAGCTACTGTTGAATCAATGAAACTACTCTATCACAAGACAATAGGCAATGAAGAAAAACTTAAACTTGATGAGATGTACACAGTACTTTGTCAGATAGAAGCTATAGTCAACTAAAGACCGATCACAACGAGCTCGGATGATGTCAAAGACAGTGCGCCACTCACTCCATCAATGGAATGGAAATGGGTAGCGTAGTACACGACCGATATGAAGATTGCGGAAATTTCCGATGAAAGACGATGAGAGATAAAAACAATATATTATTCAAACAAACAGATCATAAACAATATTTTTAAAAAATGGTCAGTCATTCAACTCCTCGTCCTCGTTCTTTCAAACCCATCCTTCCGATTCGACTCCTTTTCTTCGCCACAGGATCAGGGGCTGCATCAAACTACTCCATCCGCCTGAGGACCGCCCGACACTCCCAATTCACCTTCGACACCTTCACACCCGCCTTCTTTTTACTGCATCCAAATTTTATCTCCATCTGAAATGTGAAAAAATTGATCATAGACCAACGGGGGTGGCAATATTGGAGCAAACAAAGCATGATTTAAATCGCAAGATAATTTGTTCACATGTAAACTCAATTAAAAACGCATGTTAGTTTTCTCCATAACTTGATGATTTCATTTACCCGCCATTTATTGTAACTAAATCATCATCAATTCATTTTTCATACGATACAGTCGCTTTCCAGCTATCGCGAAGTTTTCCTTCTGGTCCGCTCCATAACCTAAGGAAAGTAAGCACTCTGACTAAGCCTACTACAGAGAGACAAACTCCATCAGCTATGGAGAAGCTTAAACGAGCTCAAAGAAACTGTTTGCTAGTTCTGAAACGGCTAGTTTCTCAAGTCAGCGACCTTTGTGCTAGCCTCAATTGTAACCAAGACGAGTTGAGCGATGAAACAACCGAACTTGAGCATTGCTTGGCTCAATCCTTAACTGCTGATCACGAGCTGCTTGACGCTATCACCGGTGATGCAGAATACGATCAAGTATTCAATCATTATCAGAACACCCAGAATGCTGCTCTCCAAACTCTACAAGCCGTAAAGAGAACGATAGCCGCATCTAGTCAGCCTATCAACCCTGTTGCAACTATGCAGATTGAACCATATATATTGCCTTAATTGTTTGGAAGGTACAAGTGTATTAGTTGGGTCCTGTTGGAGCAAACAAAGCATGTTTTAAATGGCAAGATAATTTGTTCATATGTAAACTCAATTAAAAACGCATGTTAGTGTTCCCATAACTTATTGATTTCCTTTACCCGCAATTTATTATAACTAAATCATCATTAATTCAATTTTCATACGATACAGTCGCTTTACAACTATCGCAAAGTATTCAGGTCCCTTAATATAAAATTTTTTCTGGAAAAAATATGCAGGCCCTAAAACATGGTTCCCATTTGATCGCTTGAGTTTTACACTTGCGAGAGCAAGTGTCTTGTAATGGGGAACTAGACTTTTTTCGTAAAATTTTTTTTACAAATATTTTTTTTGCTTTTCTGACTTGCTTTATTATGTGGTAGATAAGCAACAGCTACATATTACATAGAGAAACTTTGGGAATAAATCGAGACACGCAGTTTCAGATATTGCCACAGTTTTCAATTATGGCGCGGAAACATACTGAAGATGTGTTTTTATTGAACTGAACCTTAACAAATTCCAGGTTTATACTTTGCCTAGAGGTAACGTGGTTGCATTGGCACTCTAGGGTGTGGGAATGAGTACCGGACGGGCCTTTTTTTGCTATTCCGGTTCAAAATTGAGTTGCCAACTTTCGTTTGTCGGCTAAAAGTTTTTTCGGCTTAGCTGTAACATCACAGAACTTTTGTTCCCATTACAAGTTTTGTTCATTGTAGTTTCAGGGGGCTTTTACAATAACATTTTTTTAGCTCAACTGGTGTCTTCTCAATGAAGGTCAGCTTTGTTTCAGCTTCTTAAGTTTGGTTCCTCCGTTGCTAATTTGATATTCAAATATTTTGCTCTGCATGTTTGCCTAGAATCAACTTGTATCGAGACATACAAAAGTTTTGGTAGACTTAGTTTTTTGTTTGTTTTTCTACTTTTGCTTGTGCTGTATCGCAAGTGATGTCCTTTTCCGAGAATCTGTATTGATTACACTTGCGATAGAAAGTGCATTGTAACCGGGTACCAGAGTTTTTCCCGTAAATTATTTGTTCGCAGGACTTGATCGACTCATTTTCTGGAAGCCTCTGTTAGCAGCAAATTTACTAGTACATGCGTATTCTGTGCATCTTAGCATTTCAAATATCTTTGACTTGATATAACCATTTTGAGTTTTTTTTTATCTCTAGCTTCGAAGGAACTTTTTTTTCCAAGTTAAGTCGCAAATAAAAGCGCTCATTTGGTGGCATTTTGGGTTTATTTCAAACCACACGCAATTTAATAGCATCCGTTGTAGCTTTTTTAAAGCTAGTGTTAGTTTAATTCCGAGCGACCGAATTTAATCCGAATTTGATACTTACTGAATTAGCCAAATTCGGATACTTAATGCGCGAATTTTATCCAGTTTTCTATTGACGCGTGTATCGTGGCGAAGTAAGCTAGCTGAAATATCCTGCAAAAAAAAACTTGATCAACGCAAAAAAAAAACGATCGAACTGTTGTGTCACTAGCCCCACATTATATCGTTTTGTATTCACACAAGCAATGCTTGTGTTATAGTATGAACTATCTTTTTTTCCAACCTAAGTCGCAAATATTGCTGCGACGCAAATTTTGTCGCGATAAAAATGTCTTCATTTTGAAAGTGTTAATTTTGAACAATAACTAGCTATTAAGTACAGCCAATGCTATAGAGTTTAACTCAGACTAATATTGTTTCGACTGTTGTAACGAAAGAAACGGAATATTTGTGCTCGGGGTGGTTTTTTCACACAAATTTGACTTAATAACTAGCCATTTTTGACAGGATTTTTTAAATGTCATTCAAAAGGTATTGTTGTCGTGAGCTTAAGTTTGGAACCATGTTTCACCTGTGATTATTTTTCGTAAAGTTATGGCGGTTTAAAAATGGCCATTTTGGCGAATTTGGGTTAATTGACGCGCGTTATATTGCGCGCTATTAACGCGTAAGCGCAGATTTAATCCCTCATAGAAATCGTTCCAAAGTGGTTGAAGGAAGCTTATTTGCCAGAATTGATTTGTTACTAACAGCAAATATTATCACTTTGTACTTAATATGATGGCTTGTGGGGAGTTGATTTTCACAAAAAATCTCAAATTAAAAAAAATGTCAAATTTTTTTCATGTAATTACTGCTCCATAGACTGCTCTATAAATTGAGAGACGTGAGTTGGTAAATTTCTTTTTTTTTTCAAATTGACTGGTACTGCTTATGCGTCATAATTGACGTGCGTCACTTAAGAAACTTTCTAGACTCAAAATTTTGCTCATTCAGTTTTTCTCAGTAGCGTTATCGGTCATATTTTTGCTTGTGTATGCGAAGTGCAACTTCGACTCGGTGTTTTCATTGTTGTGTGTTGGTTTTTTCGGAAAATTCAATTTTTGAACGAAAAAGTAGTCCAGACACTAGGACAGTCGTGAAAAGCACCTACTAATGTATTTTTTTTTTCAATTTAGATGATTTTTATCCATCAAATTCAACGAGCCTTAAAATTCTACAATAATCTGTATTTGGAAAATGGAAGTTTTTCCTTATAAAACGATAGTTTTTACAGGTTTTCTTGTGTTCTTGTCCATGCTTGTTGGCTACATTTGCATTCTGTTTGTCTTTGCTCCCTTATTCAATCTCTGTTTGAGAGACTGAAATAAGCAAGCGTTTTCAAATCTCTGTTTGAGAGGCTCACAATAAGCAAGCGTTTTCAAATCGGAATTAGGACACTTTTTTTGTTAACAACTAAAATTATTCGGCGCAACAAATCGGATAGAGGCAGATTATTTGGGGAAGCAGCATATCTTTTCTGATAGAATGTCTGGCAAAGAGATGTTTTTTGAGCAGGTCTCCATTTTAAATTGTCGTTCTATTCGAATTTATTTTGTTTTATGTTAACTAGCTCCTAAATTTTGTATTTCGTTTCTGGCTTATTATGTTTTTTTCTTCAATTTTGTTTGGCTTAATTGGTTGCGGGGTGTATTGCATCTGTTTAGTTGTCTCTTATTAATTAAAATCGCTTGTGCTCAGGTGGGGGTAAAACTTGAGCTCATTCTTTCCGGCTCAACTGTCGTCTACACGAGAATTGTCTGCTTAGTTACCCTTGTTAAATTTTGGGTTTCAGTGCATATTTAGGACTGGAAAAGGTCTTTCTCAGCATCTTTCCGCTGCAGCAATTGAACTGGAATTGTTCGGCGATTTTTTCCGGTTTTTTGATTCTGAGGCTTTCGTACTATTTTTTTGGCTAGCTTCGTGATATTTTTTTTGCCACAAGCGGTCGCAAGTTGCACTTCGTCTCTTATAAATTTGTGAATGTTGAGTGTAATTCTTCTGTGAATATTCTTATTAGGTGATTGTTTTAATCAATGAGCCAGTAGATTAAACAAAATAAACATAATAAAATGTTGGTATGCTAAAAGATAACGGCGAAGACATTATATCAAACATTATATTAGACATTTTATTAAACATAATATAATGTTGGTATGCTAAAAGATAACGGCGAAGAACAGCCTCGTCGAACGTTTATGCTGAGTTCGACTTTTCAAAGAACGGTTTTGATTTTTTTGATTCAATTGAGTTTAGACTGAAAATTTTTTTCCGTTTGCTCTTTTTTCGCGAACCTAAAGTCATAGAAAAAAATTTCTATGACTTTAGTTCTCAAGTTCTTGTAAAAAAAAGTGTAATAGCGGTACTGGATATGTTTTTCTTCAAGCATGATATATGGATGCTAAAATATTTTGCGCTTCTCTTTAGGTATCCAAGGGTAACGTGGTGATCAAAGTGTGGGACATTGGAGGCCAGCCTCGCTTCAGAAACATGTGGGAGAGGTACTGCAGAGGAGTAAATTGCATAGTTTACATGGTGGATGCAGCAGACACTGAAAAGCTGGACAGCAGCAAGAGTGAACTTCAAGCCTTGCTGGAGAAGCCACAATTGCAGGTAACAAGACAACGCCCAGATCTTGGTGAAAACATGGTAGATTCCTTCGCAGATTTGCCTTATGATTATGATTTTTTTGTGAACGATTATTAATTAATTAGTTGTTTCCTTCTTTCGAATCTCCACTGTTAAAAGCTGCTGATTCAATTTGGCTGAAGCATACATAGTTTTTAGCCTTTATGCAGCTTTTCATTATTTTTAACAATGACACATGTTTCAGGGTAGCAAGTAATGTGAATTATCACTTCGCCTGTGTGAGCATATTGCATTTCATAAGCTGCTTCTAGGAATGCGTTATTTAAAAATTTCACTATTTTTTGCTTCAAGTGCATGCCGCTAAATGAACGCTTACTTCCAGAAATGGTTGGATTTATTTTCATAATCTGAAATGATGCATTGAAAACAATTTTTTTTTACTTGCAATAATTGATCAAGAATATAGACAGCTGAAAAAGTTTCGGAGTTTGTAACTTGCTCATTGGTCGTCCCATTTTCTCAATTTGGTTTTTTATTTATTGCATGATATCAACATTCTCGACTAGTGTTTCTCGACTTGTTTTTCTTGAACATCATACGAGAGATACGTAGCTATAGTTCGAAAATTTTCTCTTTTTTCAGTTTCGTGGCTTTCGTTACGTTTTCTGTCTGCTAACTTGCAAAGCTATACCTGTATCGAATCAAATCAAATTAAATGATTGTAAATTCAAGCAGCTTTAAGTTCAAATTTTTGAATTTTTTCCAAAACAAGTCTGGTGATATATTATAATAGGTGGCAGATGCTTTTGATTTAACTCGGCTTGTTCAAAGGAAGGCAAACTCCACTATCAAAAGTGTAAGGGCCAGGAAAAACGTGACCGACTCTTAAGTTTCGAAAGTGGAATTTATATTCAGATTTCCCAGCGGAATGAAACATTTTCCTATTGATAAATTTTTCTCAAATTGGGTTAATTTTATCGAAAAAATGTTGAACATAAATTGTCTAAGAGTCAATGAACGTAATTTAGACTCTTATATAGGTCGTGATATGTTTTTTCCGTTTTTTACGAAAGATTAAAATATGTTCAAGCTCTTTTACTTTTAAGCGGTTTCACTTTTAATTGTTCCAACCATTGAAAATGGGGAGCAACTTTGTATGGTGTATTGGTTTTTTTTGTTTTTATGCAAAATCAGGTACGACAAACAATTATCGGAATGGGTCGAGTGATATATCAAATTAAAGCCCTTTCAGTCGTGATTCGAACGACATTAAAAGATTTTGAAAATTTTTTCACATTGTTGAGAAAAAACCGGTTTGCGATTTTTGGTCTAATTTCGAGCTAATAAGTTGACAGTGTAGGCTTTCGATAGCTGATTTAGGCTTAATTTAAGCCGTGAAATCTTAGTTATACTCAGGTAATGGTAGTGTGTGGAGTTTTTAGCCCAATTTCGGGAATCAAAAACTTGAAAATTCAACAGTTTCCTCAAAACTTTCATTTTTTCTCTCGTTTTTCTAGTAATTTTTCTTCAAAAACTGTTTTCCAATTGACCTATTTTTTATGACTCTCAAATATGCCTAAATTTTTTTTTCGTTCAGATCTTTGTTATCACAACATGCCGAAAAAATGACACCAAGTTAAAAAAAAACTTTTTTTTTGTATTTTCTAAGACTGATCGGAATATTCTGTGCTACTTGTTTCTTTTTAAGTTCAATTCATTTCCTTTGTTTACACTTGCGAAGCGAGTGTATTAGTACAAGCTTTCTTTTTTCGAAACTAAGTCAAAAATATTAGTGCACTTTTTGGGGCGCCTTTACAGCTTTTTCATAGCATGTGCTTTGACATTCGAATAGTAATAATTTAATTGTTGATGCATTTTTAATTGCTGAGATAATTAATGAACCGAAAGAAGTGATTTGTGTCAAACAACAATAATAATGAAAACTCGGTTTCAGAAATTTTCTAACTCATTATATCTCGTTTTTTTTTTAATGAATAATTTATACATAATGTGGCTTTATGCTTTGCGATTTGTCACATGCCAATTTAGTGTGGATGCCTTCAGTTATATTCCAAATTATTTCTTGCAAAATTGCATCTATTTGTATTTGGTGTCACTTATGCTGAATGGCTTTTGCTATTATTAGCATATTTAGCTACTTTATTCGTGACTATTGTTTGTCGGTGGTTTAGCTTGCGTGGCTGAGTGGATAATGCATGAGACTCAAAATCTCTTGATTGCAGTAGGTCGCAGATTCGAATCCTACACATAGCCGAGTTTTTGCTGATCCGAGGCTTGTTTCTACTTTTTCTTATTTCACTTGATAGAGCTGCTTTTGATCGTGCTCTCGCAAGTGCTTGCGAAGCGCAGCTTCGTCTCTGTGTAAATGGAAGGCTAAATCTACAATCGAACAGCAAAAGTGTAAAGGTCACGAAAATGATCGAATTCTAGTTTCGAAAAATCAATTTTCAGATTTTCCAGCGAAATAAAAAATTTACTTATTGGTCCTGATTCCTTAAATCTGGTTGATATCATCAAAAAGGATCCAATAGCAAATTGTTCTTCAAATTTAAAGAGCTTCAAGGCCATTTTTTTGAGAGTTATAAAATATATAAAGCAACAGCGGTTGTAGTAGTTTTCAGTGCTGCTGTACAACCTCTGCTCATGTTTGTTCATGTGCATGTCTTTCACCTAGCTACGTGATTGTTTGATGTCTTCAGGGCATCCCCTTGCTGGTTCTGGGCAATAAAAAGGACCTGCCAGATTCTCTGACACAAGAGCAACTGGTAGAGAGATTCGAACTGAACTCGATTGCCGACCGAGAAGTGGCCTGCTACTCGATCTCGTGCAAAGACAAAATCAACATCGACATCACCCTCAACTGGCTAATTGCTCACTCGAAGAACAAGTGAGCATTCCTCGCCTCCTTTTTACGAACATCAGCCGAAGAAATTTCAATATTTACCCTGTCACTGTATACTTGAAAACAGAAAATTAATGCGAATTACCAAATCCTAAAGCAGCATTGGTGCTTACCACGAAGCGGCATTGGTGCTTAAAAAGAAGGAATAAAAATCGGATTGTAGTTTTGACTGTCGCAAATGAAATGTAATTGTATCTTTATTGTGCTTTTTCTAGCTCTTCTTTACTCAAATAAACAACTTTTTATTTGAAACGATCTTTGAAGACTGAAACTGAGCATTAAAATCTAATGAACTGTACTCTTGATAAAAGGATTGCTTGTGTATCAGAATAATTTGGTTTGTATTGTTAAAATAAGGTAATTCAAAATAGATATCTAAGCGATTTAAAAAAAATAGGGAAAATCAATCGATCGGAAAAGCATATATACATTGTTCAGATCTTGATGAATTATTCTATCCATCTCTTAACTTCATATGCTATACAAAACTTCGACTTTACAGTTTAAATTAATTAGTAATTGTCTCCAATTCTCAATTGCAAAAACGTTCATATCTACCAATATTTTGAAGTATTTTTCTATATTCTGAAGGATTCGAAGTTCTGAATTTAGTTTAATGGATATTTACCGGTTAACTTGTTTTTATCAATTTCGTTGTGCTTTTACCAAAATTGACTGCTAAGTTTTGAGTGTTAATGAAAAAAATATATTCAGTAAAGAATATTTGGTCATAAAAGATTTTCCTTATTAGATATGATTTGAACCTCGTTTTTGAATTTACTTTCTAACTAGACCACAAAGAACGCTCTTTTGACAACAAGGAAATGAAGCCAAAATATTCTCTTTCCTTCTTAATTTCAAAATTGATTTGAGTTTTCAGAACCACCTGAAAACTATGTCTATTGGTATTTGAAATCGGTTAACTTCGGTGTGAGTGGTATAAATTCGGCATAAATAGGTTGAATTTCGGTATAAATAAGTTCACATTTTTTTAACTTGAATTGCTGTCTATTTACCTTGTTCTTTGACATTTTTAACCGTATCTTGGCGATGTAATGGTTGTCTGTCTTTAACCGGCATTTAAATGATCCTTCAAGCTTAGTTAAAACTTGATCAAAAAAGCTATTTAAGATAGCTGTAAGCAAAACTTCCGGAACAGTATGACCATTTAAGGCGACTTGATGTGTTTTGGTGAATCGTCAGATGTTGCTTTAATTTAGTCAATAAAATAAATGAGTTGAGCTACTGTACCATTCATGCTTCTGTGTTTATAATTTTAACCTTCATGAAAGGACCTTCAGATAGTCGCATATATATTTATATAGACCCCACATTGAGTTGATAAATTTGTTGAAATGTCAAAATTATAGTTAAAAATACTACATTTTTAGAAAATTATGAGTTTTAACGAGAGCCAGCAAGCAGCTGTGGCTGATTAAAAGTCGATGAGCGTAGCGAAGACTGTTTTATAGGGTGTTATTTTTTTCTGGAAAGTCAAAAAATTTATTCACGCTCAATTTTGATTTCATTTGTTAAAAAGGAAGGCAAGCTTCTCTATCATAGTTTAAAGGTGACGTCAAACGTGATCGGCTTCTAGGTACGAAAGTGGACTTTAATTTTCAGATTTCCACTGGAATGAAAAATTTACCTTTCAATCTAGTCTTCATAAGTCAGTCATAAGTTGTTAAGAGTAGTGAACGTAATGAAGATTCTTATACAGGTCTTGGTGATATATTTTTTAGGAAAGTCTTAGTGTTCACCTTAATTTTTATTTTTAGTGGTTGGACTTGTGATTTCTTTTAAAGTTCAGTGCATTTTCATTGTTAGAAGGAAAGCTAACTCCAATATCGAACAGCAAAAGTGTAAAGGTCACAAAAAACGTGATCGACTTCTAGTTTCGAAAGTAGAATTTAATTATCAGATTTCGAGCGAAGTAAAATCTCTACGTATTGATCCAATTTTCTCATATTGGGTCAAATTCATGAAAAAATTGTCTTTGGTTCATTACTCTTTTACAAATGTCAGTTGGCTATATTTCAAGCTTCCAAGCAATCTATTTTCAATTTTTGATTTTTTTTGATTTTTAAAATCAATATTTTATGTTTACTTGATTATTTGAATACTTGAATATTTACTTGAAAATTTATTGACTCCTTTCAATTGGTTTTGATTTTTTTTAAAATCAATATTTTATGTTTACTTGATTATTTGAATACTTGAATATTTACTTGAATATTTATTGACTCCTTTCAATTGGTCTGTTGGCTGTTTGTTATTTTGATTTGTGTACTTGTTGTTTGTCAGGGCGCCTGCGATAGTAGAGTTGAACGAAAGAGTAAGTTGATTTCCGGCTGCCAGCTAAAGTGAAGTATAGGTTGCAAGATGGCAGTGGTAAATTGTAACTTGATGCCAAATTGGGACTGGTTCAGCAATATATCAATAACTCAATCTTAGTCGCCTGAATATAAGGAAGGCTGGTGATAACTGAAATAAAAAACGTTGAAATAATTTCGGTTTTTAGTTGTTAAGGAAAGTGATGTGCAAGAAAGTGAATATGAAATTAATTCAGAGCGTTCTAAGAGTTCCAGAAGTAATAAGTTTCTTTTTACAAAGAGTTTGTGAAAATGAAAAATATGAATTAACGGATGTTCAATTTGAAAAAATTGTGAATACTATTCAGATGATTTTCATGCAATCCGAGCTTATTTCACTTGCGAGAGCAAGTGTACTTGTAATTGAGAACTAGACTTTTTCCCCGTTGACAACTTTAACAAAATACTGCTGCAGTTACTTGAAAGTGCAGCAGTTACTTTCAATTGTTACAGTTACTGCTGGGCTGATATGCCCAGCTTCTTGAAACTTCAAATAAAATGACCTTGTAGTCATCATAGGTACTATTAATTTTTTTAAACAAAAGAATTTTTTTTCGGATTGGTAGCTTTTGTCCAAATATCCGTCGGCTCTTTTCGGTTTTTTTCTAATGCAATTTTTTGACTTAAAACGCGTATTAGCAGCCTAATTTATAGAGAATGGTTTTATTTTAATTTTTAAAATATACTTTAATTGAAGATTGTTTTGTAATTTGTAAAAGTATTTGAAAAGTATTATTCTTTTCTATTTTTCCATCAATTTTTTTCTACTAATGTGATATCATCGTAGTCATCTTATATTGCGCTGTTTCGAATGCAAAATTTTTTCCTATGCTCTTGTGGGGGGGGGGGGGTTTGGTCGTATAAACTTGCAGTTTCAAAATTTGAGAGCTTAAAACTTTTTATGACAACAGTTTTATTTTCGGCTTAACGGTGTTTGCCCCAATATCGGGTCCATCCTGTTTTCTTTGAACGGGTTGGGCTTTAAACAAAGTGCTAGTCATGAGCAGTTTTTGAAATTCGAAGTGCTACAGCTTGATCTATTTTTTTTATTGAAAGTTAATAATTTCAACAATTTTCAATCATTTTTTTGATACATCGCCTCTGCGTGAAAGTTGCTCATGCTCAGATTTGATTTTTGCAGTTTGACTTTTGATTTATTTTCAAGTTGAGTTCGTTTCATATGTGAGAAGGAAGGCAAACTCCCCTCAAATGCATTCTAAGGGTGTTTTTGAATATATTTTGTGACAAATGTTTTGTTAAAATGTTTCGACTTCCGTCTTGTCTTGTCTTCTTTGTATTTTATTTCGATTTTCGTTGTATCGCAAGTGTTGCGAAGCTATGCTTCGCCTCTGTTTAAGATGGTTAATTTGGCATACTGAGTGTCTTCAGTCTGTTGAGTGCTTTCAAATATTTAGATGATATTTCAGAGCTGGTATGCAAATTTGTCCACTTTGTGTATAATCATCATACATTTGTCTCCTACAAACTATGCAAGCAGCAAGCTCAGCGGCAATGCCTCAAACGGCGAGACAAGCTATGGTAATGTTAACACAAAGCATGTTCCCTTACCATGGCAAAGTGGATCCAATGGACAAACACATTATCCAGATGAGCAACCAGCTAGCGAGCAGTACCCCATTCCAGATATCTCTCTACTTCAATGCCTACTTTTTCCCCTTCTGGGCCACGTCCAACTTTGTCATGTTGGCCCTGAAGTTCGACGACCTCTCAGCCATCTATCAGATTCTTCTCCTGGCCTGTCTTGTGTTCATGACGCTGCTCGAAGTAGTCAGACTGTACTTGGGATACGTGGGCAATCTACAAGAACAGGTCATTTCTGTTTCCTTTTTTGAAGAAATTTTTAAATCTGAAGATGGAAAGGGGAGGCAGACAACGGGACTTTTCTGCTATACATGAATTTTTACCCACGACAAGTTTCAACAAAGTTTTAACAGCTTTTTTGCTACTTTCGTGGGGGGGGGGGGCGTTTAGTTTAGGATTCGGAGTGCGCACTAGTCCTCATATAGTTAAAATTGACTTTTGAGAGCAGTATAATAATTTTATGAGGGCAGCGTCTTTAAATTGCGCTTTTGATTACGTGCCCTCGAAAGAAAATCCCAAAAGAGTCAAAATTACAGGAGAGATATAAAAATGCACCGAAGTGCAACGATATTTGAAAATACTAAGCATGCATGTTTTATTACCCTTGTGATAAGCAAGGGTGTTGCAACCGGGTACTAGACTTTTTTTCCGTAAACTACTTTGCTTTCCAAATGGAAGAAGTGGCTATCATTGTAATAATATCATGATTATTGTAGTGTATAGTAGTAGTTGCATGCTAGGAATGGGTTTTGGTGGCTGTTAAAAGTATTCTAAGAGTATTTTTTCTGTTCCGGCGCTAAAGGGTTGGCTTTAATTTCGACGGCTTAATTTCGGGAAGTTTTATTTTCTTTTAATATTTCTTGGTGTTATATTGTAGTGATTGAGTTCGTGCATGAAATCTTCTGGGAAAAGTCTAAACCAACCCCCCATACCTTCCTTAACAAAATTGAAAAAAGCATAAAAGTTTAATAAGTTTTTCCTAGTTCGCGTAACAACTTTGTTTCAAAACTTTGTTGCTTTTGGCTTTTCGATCGACTGTATTCGTGCAGATCACATATTTCATGAGTTTTAGCAAATATTTTTTGCTTTCGTGGATGCTTGGTCAATTTAAAAATTTGTAATTTGACATGAAATTGAAAGCTTTGCAGAGTTACTGTTTTTCTGACAGATGCTAACAGAATAAATAATCCGGAAAATCATAGAGGTTACTTGAATTGTAAGAAAACAGTCAGCTTCTTAGGACGCTTTTTCGGTACTTTTTGCTGCAGAACCTTCAATATACCAGTCAAATTTAATATATTTTGCCTCCTTTCGAGTCTGGTGTTTACATCATGTTTTCATTAAAAAGACTTGTTTTCGAAGGTGTCATATTTATCTCAAGAAATTCTGGGGTCGTTTTCTTTTATTTCGACTTTGTGAAATATAAAGACATTTTGTAAAAGAAATTTGTATGCCGCACATAACCAACTTTTACTTCGATGTTTGTGCTGTGTATGGTCCATTTAAACGTTCCGTAAGCTTTTGAATTTTTAGTTTGAGCGTAAAACTATGCTTGTATTCAAAAGACATCCGTAGAGTAATGTCAAGCATAGTGGACTTTATAGTTGTTTTGGTGAGGTTCATGACATTTTAACAATTACTCTACTTTAAAATACGTTCTCTGATTTTTTTCGTATCATAGGTGCCAGAATTGGCAGGATCTTGGCTGCTGACTACAACTCTCCAGCTTCCCTTGACTCTAATCGTCTTAGTGCTGCCAGACATGGATGTGCTTCCGTTGGACTGTGTCGTCAACATCATTCTGCTGTTATTTGTGGTGACTCAAATAATATTCGGTCTGTTTGCTCTCTACTTCCTATCGAGACAACAGGTCGTCAAATTTCAGCTCCAGCAGTTCTATGACGAAACTATGGGAGTGGCGAACAATCCTGGGTTCGAATTCGAACCCATAGACACCTAATGACGACCCTCAAAATAGTTGTGAAAAGAGTTAATAGAAAAAATGTGCTATAACAATCGGGCTATTCGAAAAATAAAACGTCAGATGTTTCTGTCTTGGTGTTTAATTGGGCGTGATTTTTTTTCTTTGTCAGTCGAATACTTTTTACTGCATTCTGTCCGAAAGTTTTGGCAAATGCGAAGGTTTACGTTCTGTTGTCAAAAGAATGTCTTTGAGTGAAGTTATAGAAATAGAAATATAAATAGTGTAAATTAATAATTGTAAAGTAGTTGTAAATTTAGTGTACATAGATTCTAATCAATGTTTTACTTTACAAAGACATGGATCTCATTCAAAGTAGAGTGGCAAGTTGTTTTGTTTTCCTTGGAAAATCTACTGAACATAGTTCATGCGCTCAACTCTCCTTACCGGAAAGAAGCATTTCCTGGAATCTGAGGGATTCATGGGAACAAAAAGTTTCAGATCGCTTACTTTTTGCTATTCTCAGTCGTAGCTGAGGCGATTAATCAAGATTGCAATTTTTTATCAGAGCAGACTTATTACTAATGCGCGGCGTGCCAAACATGTTTTTCCAAATATAATTCGTACTTTTCATTGCAAAGATCCTGTGGCTCGGTGTCAGCCTAGGCATGCGCTTCAAAATATAATTTAATATCTTGCGTTTTAAGGAAACCAATTATGAAGTTTTAAGCGCGAGATAGTGGAGTGGAATGTAATCACTTTTTGCCAAATCATTTGCTCGCTTCTTTTTACTATTGCCTTTTACTTCTTTGGATTTACTTCTATGCGATAAATGTAGAACAAAGCAAAAATCTGAGCAATCCAGGAAGTTGAATTGACTGTTCCATATTAAAAATCAGGTCAGGAGCGACTCACCGCAATCACGCCTCTACCGCAAATTGTTCTGAGAAGTTTTTCGAAACCGAGAAAGAATTCTAAATATCTTTTGCAACCGAAATTACATCTGAACGAAAAGTTTTTTTTTATATTACCTTGATTGTGTGTCAAGAACGAAGTGAGAACACTTATATATGTCATGTTGTTTTTTTCACATTCCTAAAGTAACAATCAACATAATGAAGTCGTCTTTAAAGGTAGATTTTTGCTGTTGTTTTTTCAGGAAAAAGTCTAAAGTTTGTTCTCACTCCATATTTTATCTTGCAGTTCGACTTTTGATTTTTTCTAAAGTTCAATTCAAATTTCATTTGATAGACGGAAGGGAAATTGAGCTCTCTAATTGCGAAAGTGGCGCAGCAAAAAAAAAACGAACAACCTGTATCTCAGTGGAATAAAAAGTAAAATTTCGAGTCTATGAACGCTGTTCAGACTCTTACACTAGTGGACAAAATTAAGCGCAAATTCAGGATTTTATTCTGTAAAATGCCTCTTTTCAATGTTCGTATGGGATAACATTTCCTTCGAAATTCAGTAAAATTTTTACATAGACCGAGAGCAAATGATCAGATCTACATTTGTGAAAGAATCAATATTTGGTTTCAATGATTTACCAATGTCATCCGGGTCTGAAAATGTAGTTTTCCTCATCTGCACTAAGCTTTTTATTCGCATTAATAAGTAACAAACATCTAAGTCTAGTAAAAATTTCACACTGACTGTATCCATTTTCTCGCTAAGAATGTTTCACGTTGCATGAAAAAAATTTTTACTCCGCTTAATCAAGAAAGATTTCACTGCGATGCAAAATTTAGCGCAGATGAAGAAAACTGGCATTTTAAGACCCGGATTACATTCGTAAGTCATTGAAACCAAATATTGATACTTTTACAGATGGTAGCTCTGGTCATTTTCTCTCGGTCAATGCAAAAATTTTACTGAACTTCGAAGGAAATGTTGTCCAAAATTTACATAGAAAATCTAGAATCTGCGTTTATTTTTGTCCACCAGTTATCATTTTTTTAAAAAGGAAAAATCAACTATTCAGCAGCAAAAGTGAAAAGGTAAAAAAACTCATTGACTTCTAATTTCAAAAGTGGAATTTAATTTTCAGATTTCCCAGCGAAATAAAACTTTAACTATTGAAAAGTGAAGTTTCTCAAGAAATAATTTAGTCTCTTTTTTTTTTCGTTTTCCTTGTTTTCGTTGGCAATTTTTCGACTGTCGGATTCTGAAAAAGTTATAGATTGCTGTAGTAAGTACACAAGTGTATTCTTACATATAAACGCTTCTATGTACTTTTTCAATTCAGTTTCCTTTTTTACACTTGCTAGCGTTAGTACGAACCTTCTTTTTAACGGCCTAACACGCAACAAAAGTTTTCACTTATTTGGAAGTTTCCTTGTAGCATTGGAAATTGCATAGCATCTCTGTTCTGCTTTTTTGGCCAGTGTTTGTGATTGAATTAGCGTCCGTGGCCGAGTGGGAAGTTTGTGAGACTCGTAATCTCTAAGTCGCAGGTTCGAATCCCGGATGAGACGTAGTCGACTCTCCACTAATTCGAGACTTATTTTCACTTTTTGTCGTTGCTAATGCTTTTTTGTTCCAAATGTCCTAATTGTTTTTGTCGTGTTCTCGCTAGTGTTTGCAAAGCTAAGCTTTGCCTCTGGGTTCAAAGTGCTAAAAGGATGGCAAAATCACGCTCTTCATTTTCGAAAGCTCAATTGGCGCGAAAAAAAAAACGTAAATCTGTCTATCTATATATATATATATATCTCTACTATATTCAAATGCGTGTGGCGCGTATATCCTCATGTTTAAGCGTATTAATTTTTGCGTGTTTAACAAATGAATTTTAACAAGAAATTTTTCGATTTTTCAGCTTCTGAATGCTAGCTCATTTGAAATGTCCGATTGTGAGGTTGTAGCATTGATGCCAGTTTTGAAGTGAAGGAGGAGGGTAGCCCGGTATATTGTAGTGTGAAGAATGGATTAAACCATCTATACATCAAGTAACGGTCGTGTTTCATTTCAGCGTTTACTTCATCTAGTGGGAAATAACCCTATGATGGAGTGCTATGATGGATTGTCCTAGGGGTTGCGAAATTGGGCTCCAATTATGAATACCTAAATTTTTTTATTGTCTGAGATAATACGTTTTTATGATTTCTTGAAAAGTTTTCAAAGAAACATAGATTTCAAAATCTTCACCTTGGAAGTTCGCAGGGTACACTCAGGGGTTTTGAAACTTGCCTCCAAATAAGACTTTCTAAAAGCTTATAATTGTCGAGATATGCCGTTTTCCATGATTTTTCACTTTTTTTGTTGAAACCCATTGATTTCAAGATAAACTCTGGGGTTATAAGTCTGGACTTTAATTTCACTGCTGGAATCCTGGTTTCCGAGATTTTATTTTACACATTTTTCTGTCAAAAAATTTAGATTTTTGAAGTACTTACAAAAATTCAAATTCTCAACCCTGTGGTGGGGTGCTCTTCGGGTACAATATTAGGATCCAATTGTGCCCTCCAAATTTGATTGCTAAATTCTTTTTTTTGCTTAAAAAAACTTTTTGTGTTCTGAAAAAAATTGATACTTGTTTTCTTAATTTTATGGCGGGGTGCTACCAGAGTACATTCAGAGAGCGCAAATCTGGACTCTAAAAATGACTGCTCAAAACATAATAGTTTCTGAGATAAGTCGTTTTTTAAATGATTTTCAAAGTTAGATTTAAAACATTTCGCTGAGTTTGAAATACTCAACACCAGTGTGGGGTGCTGTCGAAGAAATCTCAGCAGTTTTAAGTTTTGCTTTTAGTTAACCACTGCTCAAAGCCCTTCGGTTTTTCAGATATAATTTTTTCTTTACTTTTCAAAACTTTTAAAAAATAAAAAAATCCTCAAATTGTTTTTAATCGTCAACACTTTGTTGTGCTGGTGTCAGTTTACTGTAAGCAATTGCAGATATTGCCTTCATACTTATAATTATTCATACTTTAACCTTTTTTAGCTTCCGAAATTTGACGTTCTTTTTTTGAAAGTTATAAAAAATGCATTTTTGAGGTTATCGACCCTCCGATGGCATGCTGTTAAGTTACTCTCAGAATTTGCAGAACTCCAGACGTAACTGCTCAGATCTTGTCAGTTATTAGACATCCAACCAGCTTAATATCGAGCCATTCATCCAGCCATCGATCCTTTGATACTTTCAGCAAAATATCAATCCATCTAGCCATCCATCTATCTAGCTATTCTTCAATTTAGCGGTCCATCAATCCAACCAACGATCCACCAAGCCATCCATCAATCTAACCATCCATCCATCAAGTCATCCATAGAATGATTCATCAATCCCTCCATCCAACAAGCAATCAACCAACCAGTCACCTATCAATTCAATAATTTATCCATGAAGCTATCCATCGATCTTGCCATATCGACACAACGATATATGGGTACGTACATCAAGCGCAAAAAAAATGCCTCCAACCAAGTCATTTATTCGTTTAGGCATCAAGCCAATTATTGCTAAATCGTCCCTTCATATAGCCATTCATAAATTGATCCATCTAGCCATTCATCAATCCAAAAAGTCAGCCATCTCTTCATCCATCAAGACATTATCTCATCAGGTGATTCAACCAGCCATATAATCCAATTATCAATAAAGGCATTAAGCTATCCAGCTATTGAGCCATCCAGCCATCGATTCATCAAGCTTTCCATTTATCAAGCCATCCATCCATTTAGCCATCCATTCAACGACCCTGCCATCAGTCGACCCCTTATCCAACCAGCTATTCAATCGTCAAGCAATTAGTTCAACCAGATAACAACCAGTCGTCCATCCATCTAGCCATCCATCCATCCATCTAACCAAGTCCAATCACCTGTCTATGAGGCCATCCATCTAACCATCCATCTAGCCATCAAGTCATTCAGCACTCTATCCCTCCCGCCATCCATGCACATACCCATTCTTCCATTTAACCAGCCATCCTCCATTCAGCACTCTAGCCATCAAGTCATTCAGCACTCTATCCCTCCCGCCATCCATGCACATACCCATTCTTCCATTGCATCCATTTAACCAGCCATCCTCCATCCATTGATTCATCTATGCAGCCAATCGTCTATCCAGCCATCCAACCAACTAACTTTCTTCTAACCAGCATTTATCCGGCAATCCATCTGGCAGTCCATTCAGATGTTCAGCTAGTCATCCATCTAGACATTCATTATCGATCCAGCCACGAATCCATCTAACCCTCCAACCAGCCAGTCATCCGACCATATAACCCATCCATCCATGATCTCGTCAGTTGAGCCATCCACCCCAACACATCCTTCGATCCAGCCATCAGTCAAGCCATCCATCCCTCCAACCAGCCGTCTAGCCATCCGAGCCAGTCATCCATCCTGCCTGCAATTCATCCAATCATTCATCCAGCCATACCTATAACCAGCCATCCATCCAACCTATTTTTCTTTTTAAGATAGTGCCCTTTTTTAGAAGCAGATTTAGCTGCAGTGGGCCTGCTAGTTTCTTTTAGGTTCAAAAGAAGACATAATTCCAGATTGCCCAGCGGAATAATAAAATACCTTTGAATCCGTTTTCTCTTAGTGATCTAGTTTTACGAAAAAAATCAAGCTTAAAAGATTTTTGAAACTCAGTTTTGAACTACATTCAAAATATTAAAATTGGTCAAAAAGTCAATGTGACTTGCTATAAGATTTTGCAATTCTTTAAAACAAAAACAATTTAAGAATGAAAGTTGAAGGACAGTTTCAATATACTGTGGTTTGCACTGACTGGCAGAAGAAGTCTAGTTGTTATTTCATGTTGTCGGTTTTCATGTTGTTTTTCTAATTAATAAGCGTAATTGAACAAGTCCCCATAATGATACTGAAAGAAAGTTGGCGGTTACTACGTAAACAGCTAATGAGTACATTGTTTTATAATAATAATAATGGTCGTGGGAGTCATACCGTTGTGATGACCTTAGAGGATGTCAGGTTTATGACTTATAGTACTGAAGTTTTATATCACGCGATTTCTTGTTTGTATTGTCTAGGTTCAAAGTTTTCGGCCGAATCGTTGTGAATTTAGAGGTCAAGCTACAAACATACGACGTGTGTTCATGCGCTCGTTTATCGTTTTGTTGTTGGCTGTGATCTGAATTGAGACTTTGAGAATAAATTAAGGATCAGTATTTCTATTTCAGAGTATACAGTGTGATATTTCCATCCTTCAAATTGACTGACCAATCGGCGAATTTGACAGCTGTGCTTGATGTTTCTTCAATGAGTAATTTCTGCGTAATGAAGACTTAATCTTGGATTGTATTTGCGTTTGAACATTGAAGAATCCGCAGCAATGTCAAGAAGTTCCCTGGAGAAGTCAGGGTTCGCTTTGGGATCCCTCGTGAAAGAAGGTCGCCTTTTGAAAAGAGGAGAGTATATTAAAAACTGGCGCAGTCGCTATATGATGTTATATAGTGGGGGTATTATGTATGGGTATAAAAATAATCCCGCCGATGCGCCCCCAAACGAGACTGAAGAGCCCCTGAACGAGTTCGACTTGAGACACGGACACGTGAAGGCCACTGAGAAGTCTTCAAAGTCTGGCTGCACATTCACAATAGGATTTTTACAAGGTTGGTCAATTTAAATTTTACATTTTTGGTTCATTTTGCTTCTACGTAAAAATAAGCTGTTCCGCTCATCATGACATAGTGCTGATCAGTCTTTGATCAAGATGTACATTCCATTTGGAGGAATGGTCAGAGGTTCAATATCGATACCGAGTATCAGTTTTGTGTTTCAAGGCTTGTTTTCGCCTTTTCTTTTCTAATTTTCCCTCTTTTTGTCGTTTTCTCGCTTGTGTTCGCGAAGTACAACAGCGTTTCTATGTGAAATATTTACCCTCATTTGGTTCCTCTCATGAGAACACCCCGTTAAATTATATTAATATAATAGTCTGTCTGCTTTTGGGCCCCTCGAAATATTCCGAGCCTTTTTAAGATATAGATGTGATAATTTCGGGCTAGCAATACATCTGAATTAAAATAAGGAGTTAAAGTGCTATTTAAGTTCCATTGCATCTAAGCAACTTGGTTTTCTGTCCCAATTTTGGAGGTAAGTGCCGTAAAATGTGCGGATAGTTTGGCCGGATAGTTCTCGAGAAAGGTCAAAAATTTTCAAAAACAAAAAGTGTGTTCTCGGAAATGTCAACTATCTGATTTTGGACATCAGGGGGAACAACCTCAGGAACTATCTGATATGTTGACCGTTTTTTGTACTTTCTCCATAATTATCTTGTCAAATCTGATATTATAGGTATAACCGACAGAACAGGTTGTTAAAAGCTTACCCTTATAATTTGCCACGCCTAGTTTCCTGTCAAAAAAAGTTATGGCCTTCAAACTTATTAAATTTTGAATCTTTGTTTGTTTTTTGTAGGTTTTTTACTCTACTGGAAAAATACCGTGCCAAATCTTAGGTCAAGTGTTTAATAGAGAAACCTGATCTTGAAAATGTTCTCAATTTTACCGGCCACTACCTGCTTTCAACAAAAAAGTTACGGATTTCGGAAATTCAAGTGTTTGACATTTACTGCTTGTTAGAAAATTCTATTGAAAAGTACCCTATCAAATCTGAGATGAACAGTTCAATATAAAGAAGCAGTTGCGCAATTTTTCCTGCAAAAGCAGCTACTTCTTCATTTTTGTATGAGAAATTTTTTGTCTTGCTTATAAGAAAATTCCAAAACCTCAAACAATTTAACTCTTTTCACTTGTTTAAGTAGAGAAACAGCTAAGGTTTTGGACAAAGTCAAATTTTTGAAATTACGCAATTATTCCCCCATCAGTATAACAAATTCAAAAATTATCAAACGCGTACCTCCAGCTTCAACTGGGCCCTAGGTGTCTGTCATCGATACATACGAAATTTTTGGTTCACCTAGTTTTTTTTTCATTTTTTGGACTGATTTTTTTATGATTGTATTGTATTGCAAGCGGTGCAAAGCTCTGCTTCGCCTTTTCTAAAGTTCATTCAGCTTTTTTTGTGAGTGATGCGATGAAAGGGTCTGAAGAAAAGTCTACATTTTAGACATTTCCAATAGGCATGTTCGACAAAAACCCTTCTTCGAAAAATGATTTCACCAGATTTTTCAGGACTTGAATTAAAAAAAATTAAGGTCTTTTTTTTCACTAATAACACTGCGAATCTTCTATAATAACCCTGCTCGCTCGCTTTACTTGCTCGAAATTGGACCAAAAATCTAAAGTTTCAATTAAGTTTTTCTCGACAGAAAATATTTTCGAAATTTTTTATTGTCGTTCGAATCACGACTGAAAAGGTTTTATGTGATATATCAGTCGACCCATTCCGATGATTATTTGTGGTTCCTGATTTTTCGTGGACAAAAAAAAAGAAAAAACTTAAGTACATCGAATTCAAAGTTCCTCCCCTTTTCACTGGTCGGAACAAAAAATATATCATTTTTTCGGCAAGAAGTTGCATGAGATATGTTAAAGGGCAGTCGAAGCGTTTATGACTTTACCCTGATACGAGAAGTTGGGATTTCAAAGGCAAGAGGTTATAATGATGTAGGCTTCCGCTGAGTTTCTATTGCATTAGAAAAATAAGTTGCATGTTAGGAATAAAATTGTTCCCAATTTAAACAATTTCTGATGAAAGATTTAGTATTAGTCACTATAAATAATTAATTTAATTATAATTAGTTACAGGTCATTATCATTATTTAACTAAAATTAAAGAGTAAATGTGTTCCTAGTTTAAACATTTCCTGATGAAATATTTGATCAATATTTCAAGGTCAAGCTTATCGCAGCAACGGGGTTGCTCTTTGATATCAGAAATTAGAGGTCATGTCATACAGTATTACTTACTGATTGATTTTTCTGCTTTCAGTTGAATTAATTGGATATTTATTACAACAGTTTAGTGTTTGTCAGATATCAAAGATAATTGTTTGTCATTTTTTTTTCGAGGTAATTCTCTGATAAAATATTCGTTTTCCTTTTTATGGCAGTGCTTGATTATTTTTTGGGGAAATCAAATTAAGTCTAATTTAGTTTGCGAATATGCACGATGTGACTCGAACCCTCAACCATGTTGTAAAAGTGAATTTTTTCTCAGCGATGACATAGTGTTTGCTTTTTCAGTGTCGCATTATATTGAGCGACACTTTAGCGCGGAAAGCGAAGCGGATCGCAACGAGTGGATTGAAGCCATACATCGTGTGTGCCACAGTGGCGAAAGTGACGTCATACTCCCAATTCCTCGCTTCGCCCATACCACCTCAGGGGGAACAACCTCAGGAACGGGCAGCCAGCATGATTACACAAATGAATCGTCTGCCACCAGCTCTCCATACCTGAACAACCATGCCGCCACCTCCAATACAGCTCTGACGTCATCAGATGACTCACTGTCTAGGAACCAGGCGACACACCTCAGCCAATCACAGCACTCCTCGGCCTCCAACCTGAGATCCACTCATCAGAGCTTACCTGTATACCCCACATACGACGATTTTGACAAACTCAAGGTAAATTGCAGCGAATCTAACTCCGTGATCTACGTAGACGCTGAGCTCATTATCGTTGGTTTAGGAACAGGTAACACTTTTCAATTCATCCGACAGCTCAACTAATTTCCGATCAGGTTTCTTAATTTTGAGAATTGTATGCATAACTATATAATCATGGGATTTTCAGTTTTTTCCGTCTGTTTAGTTTTCAACTAAAGAATTTTCGGCCTATTTTTTGTCTTATCTTTCAGGAAATTCGAAAAATGTTTGATTGTGATGATATCTCAAGTAGTGCTTAGACGCTTAGAGGGGACCTAGGAAATTAGACGACAAGGAAATTCGACGACCGTAAAAGAACGGAATTCAGACGATAAGAACTTGGCCAACAACTTTTTTTTGTTCAGAAGGAATTGCACTAAAAGAAGAAGAGTATGTGATCACAGAACTGATTACACTTGCGATCAGCATAGTGGTTTTTTACGAACCTTCTTTTTTCTAATCTAATCGCATATAAAAGTGTTGACTTCTTTCGGAGTTTCAATGAAGCGTTGGAAATTGCATAGCATCTGTTCTCTGGTTAATGTGAGCCTAGTCCTTGGTATCTATAAAGCTTCCCTGGCTGAGTGATTATCGTCTGAGTCTCTTAATAATAAGGTCGCAGGTTTGAATCACAGAGGTGGCGGAGTTTTACTACTTCGAGGCGTATTTCTAATTTTTATTATAGCACTTTATAGAACTGCTTTTTGTCGTGTTCTCGCAATTGTTTGTGAAGCGAAGTTTCGCCGCTGTGTCAAAATTTTTATTGTAAGCTAATTATTAAACATTAATCAAAAAAGCAAATAATATTTCTGAAATGCATAAGTTATACAGCTGTGACATTAACAACCTGATTTGTGGTTGGACGACCAATATTTACTGAACCAAAAGTTAACTTGAGTCTTTAAAAAAAGTTTCACACGATTTGCACGCAAGTTGTTGTCTAAATTCCATTATTTTCTGGTCGTCTAATTTGCTTGTCGTCTAATTTCCTAAACCCGGAAATATATTGCACTTTTTATTGTTCTTGGCTTAATTACTTTTGGATTTTATCTGTTTGCTTTCTTCAGACACTGCTTGCTTTCTTCCCAGAGGGCTATTCGTTTACTGTATCGCAGGTGGTGCGAAGCTCAGCTTAGCCTCTGTGTCCATAATTCTTTTATTAGGAATCAGTTTATGAGATTGTTTGGCAATGGATAGCTGTTCCTCGTGAAGTATTTCTCTATTTTTAAAAGTAATGATTGTAGTGAGTACTCTTATATAGGTCTTGGTGATTTTTTAGGTTTTTTTTAAAGGAAAACGTCTTTGAATTTGTTCACGCTCAATTTTGATTGTTCGCGGTTTGCGGTTTTTTTCAAGTTCAGTGCATTTCCGTTGTTAAAATGAAGGCAAACTCAGCTATCGAATAGCATAATTGTAAAGGCCACGAAAAACGTGATCGACTTCTAATTTCAAAAATGGAAATTAATGATCAGATTTCGCAGCAAAATAGAAGTCTTACCTATTGATGCAGTTTTCTCAAATTGAGTTAATTTTAACAAAAAAGTGTCCATAATAAATTGTTCTACAAATGCAAAGAGCATTAAGGCCATCTGTTATTTTCTTCGAAGTTCAAATTTGAAGATTTTTGAATAAACAAGTCAGTTTTTTTTCAGTTTCCTTGCGTTCATTACTTTTTTCCAGCTGTCAGTTGGCTATATTTTTTTCAATGAAAGGAGTATGTAGCGTTTCTCTGCGTTTTTGTGTTTAAAAGTCAATGAACGTAGTGAAAAATCTTATGTATGTCGTGATAATTTTTTTGTTTTTTGTTCATGCGCTCAAATTTGGTTGTTTGCTGTTTGACTTTTTCTTTTCAAGTTCACTTCATTTCCTTTGTTGAAAGGAAGGCAAACTCCCCATATCGAACAGCGAAAGTTTAAAGGTCACGAAAAGCGTCATCGGCTTCTAGTTTCGAAAGTATTTTAATTTTCAGTGAATTAAATTAATCGTGAAATAGCCAGCAATAATATCTTATTTGATACTTTTTCGTTTGGCTGAATAGTTTTAAGTTTCTGAGCTATTCTATCGGGACGCAAATATTCTAAGAATGTATCTGTAAGTTTGAAAACGAGATGGTTTAAGACTGAAAACAATTGAAAAATCCTGTCACCTAACCTGAAAGGTCAGTACAATCCAAAAACTATTATGGTAGCACGAGAAGAAAGATGGTGCATTTAGTCAGTAAGTATACAGTGATATTGCGTAGGTGCTTGGACAAGGATCGTTTGGGAAAGTGATGCTTGTGCGTGAGAAGTGCAATGGTCAGCTGATGGCCATGAAGATCCTGAAGAAGAGCACTTTGGTGGCGAAGAACGAAGTGTCCCACACTCTCACAGAGAAACACGTGCTACAGTCTGTGTCCCATCCCTTCCTCACCCAACTCATCTACGCCTTCCAAGACAAGTTCAGACTGTTCTTCGTCATGGAGTATGCGCACGGAGGAGAACTGTTCTACCATCTAGGCGAGTTAACTACGCTTTGTTCAAGTTGTGAAATTAGAGGCTTGGGCCTGAGCTTATAACTTCATCTAATTATTGGTTTTCTTACACTTGTGATTTATAACACGCAATGTATGATTTCTGGGCCGGAATTTTTTCGCGCATTGACTTTTCAGCTCTTTTCAGGGTTAATTTAAATTCATTTTCTAAATGGAAGGCAAACCATCTTTTGACCAAGTTTGCTAATTGAGTTTGTTTTATGAAAAAGGTGTCAATCGTAGAAGATTAGTAAATTCAAGGGGCTTTAATTGATATATAATTTTTCTCGAAAATTCGGTAATTGAAAAATGTTCAAAAAAACTTCAATCATGTTTTTCGGTTTTCTTGATTTTATTGACACTTTTCCAACTGCCTGTTAGCTATGTTTAAATGTTAGTGAAACTTTCACTAAATAAGATCGTTTGGTTTTCACTCTCAAATTTTCCTTTTGACGGCTTGCCTTTTGATTTCATCCAAGCTCACTTCAAGCTCATTTCCTGGTTAGTAAAAAGTAAATGGCGCAAAAAACGTGAATGGTTTTTAGTGTCATTAGGGTATTCTATTATTAAAATTTCACAGCGGGATAAACATTTGCTCAAATTGGGGTAGTTTTTATCAAGTGTTAAAAATTTAAGATTTCTGAAATTTGAAGAGCCGTAAGGTGATAAATATATATTTTTTTGAATTTCAAAAAGTGATAAGTTGTCTGGTGTCTATATTTTATACATATTTGATGTTCTAATATTTTTTTTGGTTTCGACCTCTTTGTGAAGCGGAAAAATTGGTCTTGAGTTCAAGAAAAATTATTTGTAGGAACCAGAAAAGCCTGTCGATATTTTCCTGTCGATTGCTAGCATTGTGCATACCGCATACCACGTGCGCTTCTATGAGAAGCTAATTATCTGGGAAGAAAAATGAAACCGGAAAACCATATATGTCACAGTCACTTCACATACCCTCGCTAAAACAAAAAATCCCTCGCTAAACTGTTAGACGCTGATTTGGGCATCTCAAGCACAGCTTTTTGTACCGCCTGGAAATGATCCCCTTGCGTACAGCGTCGAATCTTAACTGCTATACTTCAGAGCCCTTGTAATCAGTATCCGAGCTTGTGTATTGATATGCTAACGAGGTCGGTGATGATACTGCTAAAGAGGACAGTGACAAGAGTGTTGGTAATTTGTCCGGTTCCTTTTTTGTTTCGTTTGTGGCTTTGAGTATTTGGGCCCACTGCAGATTCTGTCTTGTTCTGTAGCCCGCCCTTGCGCAGCCTTGACTTCTGAAAATAAGGGTTTAAATCAGCGGGAACATGTATCTAAGTTCGGCCTCAAAGATACATACATTCTGAGTCATATTTATTCAGGACGTTCAGAACCCGTTTTAAACTTGTCAATGATGAGAATAGTTTTTTTGCCACCAAGTCAAGTCATGCTCTCAGTATAAAACGTTCGAATCGGGCTAGACTTACCTTGATTTCGATTTAGTCAGTGACCTTACTTAGGCCACTCGAGTTTTTCGTTATAAGGTTGCGATGTTGCGAGAATAAACGTCATCAAACGACATTAAAGTTCTCGTTTTTGAAAACCCGTTCAACAACTTCGAAATCCAAACTTCCTAAATCTTACCGTTTTCTGTTTGTCATTCCACAAAAAACTTGTAATATTAATGAAAAAACTACAAATAAGAAAAGATTGAATTGTATAGGCATTGGCGACGGTTAAAGCATGGGGGCGTTGCAATCAGCGTATTAACTTGAAAAATAGAAATGGAAATTATGAGTATATAAAACAGCACATAAATGATTCTGATTGGTTGACTGAGTAAAGGCTGAGAATGTGAAAGCTAATAATTTAAACAAATCAACTAAGCCGACTGTCCGTTTAAGGTCGCCGGTGGGCGCGTGTCGTTGTTTTGCGGCGTAACCAAAAAAACGATTCGAACTTTTGTATAGATTCTCACCCTCTGTTGGTGTCACCCAAGCTCCCAACACGTTGGAGCGACTGCAGCCGTCACTTTTTGGCTGTTAAGGGTGGTTAAGTCTATGCCATTTGAACCGGTATGCGGCTCATAGACCGCACAAGTTGTGTGCTCATAGACCGCACACCAAAACAACGTTTAGATTGGAGACCGGCCTATAAGCATGCGTCGATTAGCATGCCTATGTAAAAGAATATAGGTCGAAACTCGTTATTTCACGTTTTGTTTACTCAAACCCTGTCAAGAAAGTGTCCAGAACAACCGTTTGGATTTTTTAGGGGTAATGAACGTAGTGAAGACTCTTACTTAGGTCTTGCTGATTTTTTTTTGTTTTTTTTTCTAGTTTCGAAGTTTCTTTTAACCCTTTCTTGAAAATTTAAATGTTGTTTTCTTTTCTGTTTGTTTTTTCAAGAAACTGTTGTCATATATACCTGGTTTATTATAACTATCAATGTTCCCAAGTTTTCGGCTTTCATTCAGATCCTCGCATTAAACCATGAACAAAAACAACAAAAATGAGACTGGAACTTTCTGTGCATTTTGCACTGCAACCGCCTAGCCGAGTTAACCACTGTTCTTGTTGCACTAGCGAAAAGCTTAGTGTATTAGTACCCACCTTCTTTTTTTTCTAATCTAACTCGCAAATAAAAGTGTGCATTAAGTGTTCAGTTATTTGGAAATTTCACTATAGCATTGGAAATTGCATAGCATCTGTTCTCTGCTTTGTGTGGCTAGTGTTTGGTATCTATTAAGCTTCCCGGCTGAGAGGTTAGCGTGTGAGACTCTTAATCTCTAGATCGCAGGCTCGAATCTCAGCCGTAACCGAATTTTTTCTAATTCGAGTCGTATTTCTACTTTTTCTTATTGCACTTTAGAATGCTGTTTTTGTTGTGTTCTCGTTAGTGTTTGCGAAGCAAAGCTTCGCCTGTGCAAATTTTCTTGAACCCTGGGTTCACCTCAACTTCGCCCAGAGAATTTTCAATAGAAATAGTTACCGCCATAATTCAGATAGCAACTTTTACATTGCATTGATAGGACTCATAAGAAGAGCTCATACTATGAAATTATTTCTGGAACTTTTCTGGAAGAGCTTTATTTGAGCGTTTTTTTTAAATTTCATAGTTAATACGATTTTGATTGATTTGATGTGATGTGATTTAATCTGGAAAATAGCCCGGAATGTTAAAAAGAAATATGATCGCTAATACTTTAGGCAAATCAACTAAGCCGACTGTCCGTTTAAGATCGCCGTTGGGCGCGATCGCAGCTTTGCGATATAACCGAAAAAACGGCTCTAATCTTTGGATAGATTCTCAACCTCTGTTGGTCTCACCCAAGCTCGCAACACGTTGGCGCGACTGCGGCCGTCACTTTTTGGCTGTTTAGGGTGGTTACGTTCATGCCATTTGTATGCTGCTTAGGTTGTATGGCCATAGACCACACATCAAAACATCGCTCATATTGGAAACCAGCCTATAAGCATGTGTGTCAGTTAGCATGTCCATGTAAAAGAACATAGTTTAAAACTCGTTATTTCACATTTTGCTAACTCAAAACCTGTCGAAAAAGTGTTTGGAATTTTTTGTATGCTTTCGATCTAAGTAAATGAAGCAATACGTTTTTATAATGTAATGAAGCAATTTGTAATGAAGCAATACGTTTTTATTTATGACATGAAAAATTACTTGTATTTAATCCACTGAAACTAGTTACGAAGTTTTTTAGCGCTTTCTTGAGAATTTAAAGTTTTTTTTTGCTCCTCTGTTCTTTTTACCAAGAAACTCTTGTCGAAAATGCTAATTTACTGTAACGATCAATATGCCTAAGTTTTAGTCTTTCATTCAGATCCTCTCATTAAACATGAACAAAAAACGACACAAATGAGGTTAGATTTTTCAGCGCAACTTGTTATGCTACCGGCTAGCCTTGTTAACCATTGTTCTTTTTGAAACTTCTTTAATCCTGGGTTCACCTCAACTTCGTCCAGAGAAGTTTCAATGGAAACCTTTAGTTTCAACAATATTTCATATCAAAATTTTTGAATGCATTGTTAGGACTCTTTCATAAGGTAAAAAAATATAGTTGTTGATGTTTCATTTGAATATCTATTTACCTTTTCGATAGTTACCCTTGCCATAAGCAAGGTGTTGCAATGGGGTACTAGACTTTGTCCCGTAAAGAACTTAACGCATAGAAGGGACGAAATGGTAATCGCCGTAATTTATTACCATTGAATGAAAATAATAGAATGGCTAGTGTATTGGTTGCAAATGTACCTTGGGTGCACGTTAAGAGTTTAAACGTAATTTTTATCTGTGCCGATAATTTTCGGTCACGAGATTGGTCGGCTTTTTTTCTTGTTTTATATGTTTACATTGGTAGTATATAAGATTACTTGATTTCTAACGACGTTTTTTGAAATGCAGCACCCTTTCAAGCCCACCGTAATAAAATTAGAAAAATTGAGCATAAAAAATGGTCACGACACTTGAATTTTCTTGCTTTTTTCAGATTTTTAGATCGTTTAACAACTTTAGTCGAAACCTTTGTAGTTTTTAGTTGTGAGACCGGCTGTAGTTTTAGGCTTGCGACTAGCAATCGTTAACAAATCGGAATATTCAATTTTTTCTGGGTTAAGGACTTGTTTAAGAAAATCACTGAACCATTTTCTCTGTTTACTTTGAAGGTAACATCCATGCTTAAAATGGCACGGATTATAGGTTCGATGCTGGCCAGGAGCTGATTTTTTTAAATAAAAATGTTTTTTTTTTCTGGGAGAAATTTAATTATCCGATATTTTTTTTGTCTGCTTATTTCTTGTCAGCTTGCTTTCCAAATTGAAATTTTTTTGGTTGAAGCAAGTTTTGCAAGAATTGAAAGTGGCTCTCGATAAATTGTTTGGAATAGTAATGTAGCGCTGTTTCTCGGGAATTACTCAACTTGAACATCATTCAAGACAAATGTTTGAAGTTTTTATCGATGTAGTTTTTTTAAATGTTGGTTTTTTCCGACATACGGGCCTCTGTCCCATTTTCTACGTTTTAGTTATGGTGGAAAACTCTGCTTCACCTCGGTAAAATGTTAAATTGCAATCAAAAGTTTCAACTGTATCTAGGCCTTGAAGAAACTCCAACGTGGTACTGTGATTTAGGTATTGAAATAAATGTACCTTGACTGAGTTTTCGGTTATTCTGACCAGTTTCGTTAATCAATTAAGAAGAGAGTTTCTTTAAACAGCTCGCGTAGATCTAAATAGGCTTACAAAATGTAATTTTGAATTTTCAAAGGATTTGTCTTTGATATTTCGTCCGAAAATGTGTATTCTCGAGCAGCGATAAGTTCTCGAGCAGTTTGCTCATTTCAAGTGAAAGTTTTTTTTGTTTTTTACAGGCAAAGAAAGGCGATTCGAAGAACCCAAAGCTAGGTTCTATGCAGCCGAAATAGTGCTGGGCATCGGGCACCTTCATAAGCATAACATTCTCTACCGAGATATAAAGCTGGAGAACATCATGATAGACCACGAGGGTCACATAAAAATAACCGATTTCGGGCTGTGTAAAAAGGGGATAGATGATGCGCAGACTTTCTGTGGTACCCCGGAGTACCTGGCCCCGGAAGTGATAGCTCTCCGAAGGGACTTTGACATCGTCGGCTGCACTAGTGACGACGGCTCGGGTGATTCAGACGAAGACATAGTGTATGGGCGGGCAGTGGATTGGTGGGCTCTCGGAATTGTGCTCTACGAAATGCTCTTTGGACGTCTTCCGTTTTTTGGCTCCAACCAAATGGACGCAAAGGTATATATTTTATTAATTTCCAGTGTTTTTTTTCCTGTTTTTTTAATTTTCTTATGATCGTTTTTTGTTGCAGTCCAGTCAAAACGAACTCTATCGTAAAATCTGTCAGGCACCCCTTAAGTTCCCACAGCCTCGACCAATCAACTCAGCTCAAGGAACCAGGACCACAACCCCTGTGTCAGACGCTGCCAAGAACATACTGCTGCGGTTCCTGGAAAAAGACCCGAACAAAAGACTGGGCGCACGTCATCCACCCGAGGGCCTTAATGACATTAAACAGCACAGCTTTTTTTACGCTTTCATAGACTGGGATGCTCTAGAATCGAAGAAAATCCCACCCCCTTTTGTGCCGGAAAAAGACGAAGAGTACTTTGAAAAAATGTTCACAGACAAGCCAATTGAATTGACACCGCCTGAAAGGGATTCGCGCTATAAAAGCAAACACCAAGATGAACTCTTTAAAGACTTTAACAAATGAAACTGAGTTAGATTCGTATCATTAAACCCGCGAGGTAAAGTTACTATGACACCTTTATTGTATTCCACAAACAGGTTTTCTGTTCAAATTGTTCGGAAGTTCGAGTGCTGCTTCTTTTTGTGAACAAAGCTCGAGGTGTTTAAGCGTTCATTTACTGTCTATCAATTTTCAGTGCTTTGTAAAAAGATAAATAGCTTAGATATGTATTTTAAACAACCCATTCTAAATTTTCCATTGCTATTTTTAGCACCAATCTTAACAGCCAATTATTGAGCAGCAAATTCAATTGATAACACAATTTTGTTTTATAAGAGAGCCCTTATTTTTGTCATTTTAAGTCAATACTTATGGAATAGTTATGGCCCAGGTTGTTAATTATAATGTAAACTAACCTGTTTTACCAACTGCACTAAAATGAATGGCCATGTCTAATTTGAGCGTAGAATTTCCATTTCTAGTGCTCGATTTGTTATAAACAAGCTCTCCATTGTCTATCTCGCCTCAATATGTTTTCTAAGCTACTGATTCACAAAAATCAGCTTTTCTGTCAAACAACCCCCCACCCCCTCGACTATTGCTAAATAAAAAAATGACTGGAAATAAAATAATTCATTTTTTGAGCCGTGTTTTAAAAAAATTGAACTGAGCTTGTCTGTCGTTGGGTCAAAACAGTTAATGAAACTTAAAATGTCACTTGAAATAATGTTCGAAAGGAGTGGAAAAATGATAAAAAAAGCTGAAATTTAATTCTAACTTACATTCTATTTTTCATTCTTGTCTATTCTGAAATTAAAGACGGTGCTTCCCTGACGATGCGTTTCTTTCAATGCAGTTTAAGTAATTTTGCTTCTTAAAAGCTTATATAGAATGCGAAAAATTTAAGCTTCAATTTATCTTCTACGTCCACTTTTTCCTGTATTACGAAGCCAACTCTTTCCAATTGATCATCTAATAATTTGCTTTCTACCAGTATTTACACATGCGCAGCGTACTTTATTATTACGTTATCCGCTTTAATATAATCTAAGTCGCAAATAATAGTGGTCATAAAAGCGACACTGCATTTTTGTATATTTGGTTTACTTTTGCTGCATAGCATTAAATTTTTATATCTAGGTTTTTGGTGGCTAGTTCCTGTTTTTAAGAGTCGATGAGCATATTTTAGACTCCTAGAGAGATGCGGATGATTTTTTCGGCTTTTTTCAGGAAAATTTGTTAAGGCTCAAATTAACGTTTTCGCGGTTTGATTTATGATTTCGTAATTTCAGCTCGTTTCCTTTGAAGGAAAGCAAACTCCACTAAAGAACAACAAAAGTGAAGGTCTTAAAAACCGTGATCGACTTCTAGTTTCGATTTAAGAGTTCAATTTTCAGATTTCCCAGCGCAATAAAAAGTTTACCTTTTGATCCAGTTTTCTTGAATTGGGTGGAATCATAAATTGTTCTTAGAAATCTAGGAGCCTTAAGGGCACCTATTTTTTCTTCAAATTTTGAAAGTAAAGATTTTAAAAAGAAAATAAAGTAGTGTTTTTTGTGTTTGCGTTCCTTGACTCTTTTCCAACTGTCTGTTGGCTATGATTATTTTTTCAAACGTTTTCTCGAGAACGACCTTGTCAATTTTTTTAAAGTGGTAGAAATTCAACGGAAAGACCGGGTACTTGCCTCTCAGTCAGGATACTCCAGTAGTCTAATCTTTTTAGTCGACGTTCCACAGCTTCCGAAAATTTCAGTGGGAGTGGGGGTTAGTTTGATCCATTTGTTTTTAGATTACTTCTCCGAAAACTGGCCTGGCAAATCTGCGACTAAGTGATTAATCGAAAGAAAATGTTTTCAGATCTACCAATGCATAAGCTGCCACACCTTAAGTTGTAAAGAAAAAGAGTGACTACCTTTTCTCGTAACTTTCCTTGCCCAATCTTATAAGCCAAATCTTCCTTGCCAAATCTTAAATCATAATTATCTTGTCTCGGAACTTTCTTTTCATAGCGGCTACGCCGTTTTTGTTCTAGAAATAAAGCAATGTTGGAAACCACAGTCCATTTTTTGAGTTTTTGGAAATTTAACTTTCGCATCAGTACATTTTAAAAAAAAATTTAATCAAACAGGTAACTCAAACTCTAGCTGGTTCCCTAGAGTTTGACTTTTGTGAATCGGTAAATGCGCAGATGCTAAGACAAGTGAAGTTCAACCTCGAAGTAAGTAGTTCGATTGTCCAAATCAGAATTTTAGCTTTACCTTTTTTCCTCTGTCAATTTTTGACCAATTTAGGGCTACTTTTTTCCTCATATATGGCAACTAATCAAGCAATAGATTCTCTGTTGTTAACAACGGAATGCCAGTAAGTATCAAGAAAACAACAATATGTATTGTCGCTTTCGCACAGCCATATCTCACTTAATGCAATTAGAGACGGTAAAACCTTCAAAGTACTGATATAAGCCTGCAGTTTTAGGTAGTGGCATCTTAAAGATCTATATTCAAGATCTGTATTCAAGGATCTATTTTCCAAGATCTATATTCCAGCTTTCATGGGTCTCTTTCACTCATTGATATTATTTAAAGAACAGGTTGGGGTATAATTAACTTTTTGGTGAATTCTAGATAGCTCAGCTTCTAGAAGCTGTGCTCTTCTTTCGCCAGCTGCATCCCTCGGACGGTTAATAAAAACCCGGTTGCAACCTTAAAATACTTCTCGTCCACTGTTACCAATTTTGAATGAGGACACTGCCTTATTCTTTCTCTTGATCGCTCGGGATTGTAGATTTTGAGAGTTCTTTGATTTTGCACGAGAATTGAAGTTTGGGAGCCATCCTCATTTTGGCAGAAAGCTTTAAGTCACAAACTGTGAGTTTTTGTAAGGTATGTTCTCTCATAGGCAACATTTTGTAGCTCAGCATCACCTTTTATGAGACATTCCTTGCAAAAATGGGCTTCGCATTGCTTTCCTTTCGATCACCCGACGATGATATAGGTTATCCTCTCTATTGCCCTTGTTGAGAGGTTTGACAAGATTTTATATACGCCGGAACAACTTTATACTCAAACTTTTGCAGGAACAACTTGCATATACTTTTCCTGAGGTTATCCAGGATCAATTCAGAATTTTCAATAACAAACCAGTAATTTGATATATACTTCATGTTTTAATATACGCAGTTCTTTGTCTGTTAGTTCACTCTTCATTATCACGATTTCCCAACTTTGTTTCCCGATTTTTTTTGTCTTTATTTCGGAGATCTTCAAGAAAATTTTTCAGAATCTCTTTCTTTGATTGATCAGCATTTGCGAATTCAATGTTTTGAAACAATATATTGATCTTCATTTCCGCCGCTATGTGTTGAATGCGTTTTTCACAACAACAAAATAGCTCAGTCGAATGTTAGCGCAGCGATGCGATACAAATTGAGTGTTCTTTGAATTCCTCGTGTCTCGTTTGAAAGTTTTAAACTTACCGTGGTGACCTACCGTAGAATGTCCTCCCCAGGCAAATATTATTTTTTGAAAATTATTTCCGCATAAAATATTCATTTCAAACGATCGCGCTGAGTATTTTGCTGAAAAATTTTTCGATACCGAATATCTAATTTATTCTGCTAATATTGTAGTATAATAATCATAAACTGTATTTATCGATTTTTTTGACTAATCAATTTATTTTTCCCTCGAGGTTAATTTCTGAAAAACCAATTTTAAAATCGATTAAGTGGAGGGAGTAGGAGGATTACACTAAATATAAACTGTCAAATCAGAGTTTGCACTTGAGTTGATAGGTTGTTTGATGAGCAAAAAGTTTTTTCAATGGGTTTTTGCTCTGAATCAAGTTACTATTTTTCCGACGCAACGGCGGGCTTGTACCGAAGTATTGCCTGCTCTGTTACCGCTTTTTGAATTTTGTGTCAAAGTTTTTTTAATTGGTAAACTTGTTTCTTCCTATGCGGTCCTCAACTGAACTTCATTCGAGGGAAAGGTAAAAAAATTTTCTTGATGATATTTTTGTCGAAACTTCAATTTTTTTTTCAACTCATTTGCTTTCGCCGGATTCCCTTTCAGATATTTGTGATGCTATTTTTGTATTTTCACGAGTGATGCGTTGCTCAGCTGCGTCTGTGTTTTTATTTTTGATACTCAACGTAGTAATTTTAATTCCGGGAAAAAAACTACTTGGGAGAACCTTCCTTTATGGTGGTGCTGGATTCGAAAATGAGCGCTCAAAAGCCTCAAAAAATGTTCCAAAAACCTCGAATATACCAAATAAAGCAAATGCATTAAAATCGTCATTAACCTCGTTTGAAATCAGCAGATACTGCAATCGTGTTGATTTCGTGTCAACGCAGACACAAAAACTCGGTTGTTATCGGTGCAGAGCGTCGACCAGCGTGATGCTCCAGTCATCCACTGGTATAGAGTTAATAAAGGAAAAAACGATTTTCTCATGGGCGTCGGAAAATAAAAGACAGAGAAATACTTTTCTATATTTAACTCTATACCGGAAAAGTTCACATATGATAGATAGAGCAAGGCCTAGGAAACACAATTTAAAACTTTGAAAGTGCCTTCAGTGCTGAACTTGAAGATTTTTCGTCGCAGCCAGTATGATTTCTAAGCCAGAAGAACTACTCAGACTTAGGAATACCGCTGTTAATGGCTACTGGCAACTCAAATAATTGGTTATTCAACAAAGTATGGTCACTTAATAACCACAAAACACTTCATAATGAGCGCTAAGGTAAAGTATAACGTGAATTCAAAATTGATCTTAGAACTATTAGCCTCGGTTATACTGGATCCCTTACCGAGAACAAACTCGTCAAGGTCAACCTCCAAATCATCCCCTGCACAGGCAGCCAGAGAAAAATGATCTAGTTTTACAATGAAAGAATTTGCTGAAGACCTTGTTGCAAGTAAAATAGAACAAAAAGATGAATTGCACGAGCATCTAAAATAAAAGTCTAAATTGGACAGGCCCATGAACAAAAAAAGAAAAGTCTAGCTTGGACATACCATGAACAATAAAAGAAATGAATAGAATCGATAATTATGTCGTGTACAAGACTTTGGTACAGGAAACCCGGGATTATTCATCAACCATGCAGCAACACCTGAGTCGGCACCCTCATCAGCATCTAATCCGTATGAACAGTGTTTAGACTAAGATAAAACCGATTAGGACATTTCAGACACAGAAAACAAGTTTGACATCCACGTGTTGGAGAGTTCAAAAGACCTAATACTAATCGCTATAATAGGGACTATGTTTTATGGCGCAAGAACCCCAAAGTAACTTAATGGTATTCACAACTCTATGACTCTCGACGCAAGAGAAAAGTAATGCAATCATTATCTATAAGTTCATTTTTATCTCTAAGGTATCTCTAAGTTCAATTTTAGTTTCTTTTTGAAATATACGAGAAAGGCAAAAGAAATACAAACAAGGTGGAAACAAAGCGAAACGTTTTCTGGAGACGTGCACAAAAGTTTCAGTTTTTCAAAACGTCATTCTACATTTGGAAACATTCAACGCTTTTTCAAAATAAGCTCCAAATTTATGAATCAATCCAAAACTTCCAAAACCCACAATGTCAAGGCAAATCTATTTTTTGCCTTGAAACGAAGCGCAATGAGGCGAATAAGTCTATTTGTTGAAAACCAAATTATGAAACAAAAACAAATTTGCAAACCCGATTTGTGAAAATTCTTCTTTTCCGACCTGAAATACTTTACATCTAAACTAATTTCCGGTCAGAAGCTCTTTTTGAAATGTTTAAAAATGCAGTGATTTTCTATAAATTGTTTATTTCTCATCTTAAATCTGATCAGAAATTAGCTAAAACTAGGCTATTTCTAGCAAGAAAAAGTCTTCTGGTGGGTCTCGATGCACTGACCTTCAGTTTCTAGGCTGTTATGCTA